TGCCTACGAGGCTTACACGGCCTGATCTGGGCCGCGAGCCAGGGGCACCGCACTCAAGCCAGGGAGGTGCCTACGAGGTTTGCACGAGCTGACCTGGGCCGCGAGCCAGGGGCACCGGACTCAAGCCAGGGAGGTGCCTACGAGGCTTACACGGCCTGACCTGGGCCGCGAGCCAGGGGCACCGCACTCAAGCCAGGGAGGTGCCTACGAGGCTTACACGGCCTGACCTGGGCCGCGAGCCAGGGGCACCGAACTCAAGCCAGGGAGGTACCTATGAGGCTTGCACAAGGCACCACTGCCTCTCTCCAGCGCCCCTGGTCATATTTGACCCTCAAACCTATGCCTCTTATTTACATGACTTTTTTAACCACAATCTTCAAGGTGGAAACATAACAAAACACTTCTCTCTCACAGAGGACTGATATGCCGGGATCATTCCCCTTCGGACAGGGGAAATCAAAGCCATCAGCATCACCAACACTATATTCATTGCGGGGGAGGATCATCACCGAGTCCAATCTTAGCTAGCACCATCTCCATCATTACCTTCGTCTCCATCCTCTTTTCAATCTATGAAATATTACCTCGGATCTGTTGTTGAGACCACTTCACGATGTTAATTGCTGCTTGGGGAGTTGATGTCTAGTGTTTTACTGATGAAGATTCGTATGTTCAGATTGTTATCTATGATATTACCCAATTTTGATCATGAAGATGCCTTGTGAGTAGTCCATTACACTTGAAGACTTGGGAGGAACCAAGTTGTTAGCAACCATGTGGAATTGCATAAAGTTCAATGTTGCTTCTCAGGCTCAAGTTATTTCTTTTACCATGTCTAATAAGGTGAAATCTACTGCTAGTGCTACGGTCCAAACAACTCTTCCACCGCGTCGGCATCCGGCGGCATCGGGAGGATCACTGCCCCAAAACCACTGACGCGCGGGCGGACGCAACACGCGCCCCCCACCCCCAACCCCTGCCGTCTGACCGCCGAACCACCACGCGCGGACGTGGACGTCGCGAGCGGTGGCACGGCACGCCTCCGCAACAACCACTCCCTCCTCCCACTCCCACGAGCGGCCAAGCAGCGGAGACGAGCTAGCAAGGCGGCGGCAGATGGAGGGGGAGGGGGAGGGGGAGGTGAGGAGGGACATGTGGGGGCAGGAGTACCGGACGGCGTCGCCGGACTGCGCGGCGGCGCTGGACGACTACTACGCGCAGACCATGGCCTTCGGCCGCGGCCGGGGGCGCGCCGTGCTCCGCGCGGCCGCCGCCGACCCGTCCTGCGCGCTCGCCGCGCTGCACGCCGCGCACTTCGTCGGCCCGCGCGACCGCGCCGGGGCCGCCGCCTTCCTCGCCGCCGCAGCCGGCAGCCTCGTAAGTCTCCCGTCCGCTCGGTCAGTCTCCTCGCTCCTTTTCCCCTTCCGAATCCTCCCTTGACCTTCAGCGTGTTCGCCTGCTTCAAACCAGGGCAAGGCGACGGGGTACGAGCGGGCGGTGTTCCGGGCGCTCTCGGCGCTCGTCGGCGAGGACAGGGACACGGAGGTGGCCATCGAGCGCCATTTCCAGGTTCGCTCTCGCGGCTTGATTCGATTTCTCCTGCAGATTTGGAAACTGGAAGTGTGTGCTACTGCGGAAGACGACCACCAATTGACTGATGAAACTGAATATCATGCTTGTATGTGACAGTTGCTCAAGGAATTCCCCAGGGATCTCATGTCCCTCAAGAGGGCGCAGCTCCTCTGCTTCTATGTCGGACGGCCGGACACATCCCTCGAATTTGTTCAACAAGTAAGCTCAGTATTTACCACAAAGAGGTGTGGTTTTGTACTTACAATTTCATATTTAACACCCGGGGATAGCAATGCCGTTTCTTTTGTGAATTGGGTGCACTTGTGTGGGACAACTTTTAGTAACACCCGCAGAAACTTCCAGCGAAATAAAATTAAGTAGTTGCTCAAAGGAGTTGTATGCCTGCTGCTGTTTCCTAACATCAGGGTAGGTAGCCCACTGAATGAAACCAGTGACAGTGTAATAACTTTTTACCATGTTCATTAGAAGTTGTGTGGTTGTGCTGATATCCAAATGCAGAAACTTCAAATCAAGCAGCTCCTCGTATGAAAATGCTACTGTACTAAGAAAGTACTCTTTCTGACTGATTCATGTCGCTCATTGCTGATCAGGTTTTGCCGGAGAACCAAGATCGGAACTATATATATGGCATGCTTGCTTTCCCTTTGCTAGAGCTTGGAAGAATGGACGAAGCTGAGGTAGCTGCTCGCAAAGGCTTGGCTATAAACAAGAACGACTTCTGGTCACAGCATAATGTATGTGGATGTTTTGTCATTTGGCTATATTTGGCTTTGGTGATTACATCTAGTTGCTGACTTGTAAGTGGTATGAACCTTATATACCTGGTGACATAGGTATTTAGTAAATCAGTCACATAATTAATCTGCTGAATAATAGCATCAAGCATTTTTTTAATCTTGTTGATGCCATATACGTGTGTAAAGAAATAGCTTTCCAAGTATGAGAGTATTTTGAGGTATCGAATATACAGAGATCCAGTGTTTAGACTTGCTAACTTAGAACAAATTACCATCGACAAAAATAACGAGCGTTGAGAACTTATTATAACCATAAACTGAACTAAAACTATGCAATAGGATAGAGATCAAACTCTGCTAATCAAGATGTTAAAATCCTCCTCTAGGCCACAGTCACTTGATACAGTTTCAACTTTCAACTAAATGAATCCAATAGCAATTAGCACACTATGCTGCAACTTTAATGCTCTGCTCCTTTCACAGAGTCCTTCGCCTTAATTACCACTGGAAATTCTTTCATACTTAGCACAGATTGTCCTAATAAAACTGAATACCAGGCTCATGTCTACCGTTAAATATTCAATAATCATCCAGGGCTGATTGCTAGCTGATTAAAACAGTTGACCTATCCATAAGTCTTAAGTTACAGTTAAATCCCATGCCAGGGAACAAAATGGTTTACTCCCTACTTGATCGAGATGTACTCGTGGCATCGTTTAGGATGATTAGAAGGCAACATGACCCTGGATAACTCATAGGGGAGTGATGCGTTGCACATCACCAAGGGTTGGTAGTGTGGATGCTTTGTGCTGTGCTGCAAACTCTGCCAAACGAGGTTTTTCTTGCAGGATCTGCACATAGACCCAAGTAGTTCTTGAACTGTTTCCTTTTTCATGAAAAAGGTCTATGGCCCTGCTCTTTATTCAAAACTTTTCCAATGTTTAGAGTTCTTGGACTGGACAAATATGACACAATCAGTTTCATTTAGCTTAGCTGGTGAGTCATTCAGATGATTATAACCTTATTTCTTCTAACTTTGATCCTCTGTATTCCATGTCCTTACATTTTCATTTCTTTGGAAGACACAATAGTAAAGACTTTCTTTGTGAAAGAGAAGTCATGGTGATTTTCTTGTTATGGCGGGATATGTCTGTATGTTCTTAGTGAATTCTCCTCATGCAAGGGCTGTTAAATTAAATAACTTACCTTAGCATACGAGTTTACTAGCTGACCTGTGCACATTAAGGCAAGAAAACGTTCTTTAATACAAGCTACATCCTACATTCTATCTTGCAGATGTGCCATGTTTTCCAGCAGGAATGTCGCTTCAGAGAAGCTACTGAATTCATGGAATCATGTTCTCCATCATGGACAGCATGCTCATCATTTATGTATGCGGTTCTCCACTTGATACCCTTTCTAGTGATGCGAATAAAAAAGCAGGAATGTGATTTCTTAGAAAATCTGTTTCCTTCTTCTTTGTAGGTTTACCCACAACTGGTGGCATGTGGCAGTCTGTTACTTGGAAGGTGAATCCCCTATTAGGAAAGTTCTGGAGGTATATGATCAAAACATCATGAAGGAACTCGATAGAAGTGATTGTGAGCCAGCAGAGGTATTATAATGTCATTGGTAATTTTTTTTCCCAGATATTGACATCCGAGACAGACACTGAATAATTCTCATCACTTCAGGTGTACTTGAATGCTCTCGGTTTGCTACTCCGTTTATATATACGTGGTGAGATAGGTCCGGCCAAAGAGAGGCTAACAACATTGCTAGATGAGCTTAAGAATGAGGTACTACTGGAAACATTTTTCATATACTCCCTCCGTTCCGATTTACTCGTCGTGGTTTTAGTTCAAATTAGAAGATGTAGATTTAATTGTGTTGCCTATTCTTAAGAGCATTTTAAGATATAAACTAAAGCTATAAGAGATCCATTCTTCTGACTATTCCAGTTTGAACTTTCTCCAGTCCATTTGGCATGCGGAATGGCTCCTTGATTTACTTTTATTATGGGCATTACCATGTATGAATGAAATTGAAGCAGCAGAAAATCTGCTGGACTCACTACGATCAAGGTCAGATATCTGAATGGTTCTCTTTTACTGGAAACAGAAGACTGTCATGCTACAAGTGTTCTCAACATTTGTTGACTGTCATGTTACAAGTGTTCTCAATATTTGTTTTCTTTCGTTCAGAGTCTCTTCAATGGACACGAAGAGACAGCAAGTGATGCACAAGGCAATTCAGGTGTGCTAAATTCTTTATGCAAGGTCAAATGCTATTGGAGAGCCACATGTACAGTGTAATTATTACCTAAGAGAACATTGACAGTTTGAAGGAAAAAAAGTATTAATATTCTTGAAAAGTGGGATGCTCGATTTTGGTTCCTAAATCTGACTGTGACACAGTAATACGTTCATTTGTGGTGGACTGATATCCAATAATGTTGCTTTCCAGTATCTCTTGTTATTTCGTAATTTCCTCTACTTCTTGCTTGCTTGTCTATTGCATCATTCGTTCTCAGTGATAAAATCACAAATTTTCGGTGGGGAAGTTGATGGACTTTTTGCTGCCATTTGTTGTTCTCTTTGTTACAGCTAGCCGATGCTGTTTATAAATATGGAAAAGGAGAGCACAAGGCGGTGTTTGACACCCTGGGTCCAGACTTCGATGGGCTTAGCTATAAAGTAGGATCACCAAACATAGTCTTTCAAGACAAGTAGTCATGAATTTGCTTTTACTGAACATCAACACATGGTACATACAATCAGATGATTGGTGCATCGGATGAACAAGTGGACGTCTTCAATGAAGTTTGGTACACTGTGCTAATAGATGCTGGAGAGACATCTACAGGTAGTTGGTCTTCAATGCTTGAAAAAGATAACTAGTAATTTTTTTTGTTGCCCTTTATATGAGGAGCTAGCTAACACAATTTGGATTGTGCACAGCAATTGAGCTGCTCGTCAAACAAATCAGCAAACGACAGGGCGCGCCTTTCCTGTGGCGCTTGCTGGTAGAGTGCTTTTGCAACCACATTGCTTTCTTTCCATTTTATACACTGTATTCTCACTGTTGTCTCTTAACCGACTCACTAAAGGTTTGAAAACTTTCATCCAAAATGCAGCATCTGTGAACTCATGAGCTGATAGCCATACAGAAAATGAACTTGGCATGTATCAACTTACACCAATCCACCAAACTGGTTGAGAATTTTATCTGGAATTTAGAAATTGTTGTGGCTCATAATACAAGATGATTTGTCTATTTGGACACTGATGAAACTGTTGTGTCTTGAAGGTGACATCCGACCACCAATATCTATGAAAATTGGTTGACTCGCGTGAACGTAATTGTGCATTATTATAAAGTTGAATTTCACGATGAACCTAGTAGTAACACTAATTTGATGTTGTCGATTCTAGCAATTGACCCTCCTACGAATGTAGCTGCCTTTGCAGTGGATGATATTAGCATCCCTTTTCTCTGATCTAAAAATGATTATAATAGCAACTCTGCAAACTCAGTTGAGCTGCGATCACTAGACATAAGAAGACATTCCCCAGATGCCGGAACTCTTATCTGTACCCCAGTAACTCTGATGAAGACCATGATATTATCATCGCTTTTGATTTGCGCTTTTTTTTTTTGCAGGAGAAAGCATACGCAGTGGAGGGCAGAGCCGAGGATGCTTCAGTGGCTGCCGAGAAGGCAAATGCTCTACAAGCTGCTCATTTTCATTAGCTTCGCGGAAAGGTTACTTGTACTTGTTGATGTATGTATGCATGGGTGTAACTATTGTTGCTGGCACGCACGCACAATGGGTGGAAGTTTATCTGATAGTAATAATTCGTAAAGATACCAGATTAGCTTCTGAATGCTCGGAGGCTCAGAGTGGTGTTCTGTTTGTCTCGAGGCATATCGCCATCCCTTTATGAAAGATTTGGTTGAAGCGAAGCTCGCTCTCAGACGAGCTAGGATACCCCATCCAATTGAAGACAATTCAGTGGTTTATAGTTGATACAAAGAAAAAGGAAAGAGGGCTAGAAAGGGTTATTTGATTGCTCTTTTGGTCTATTTGGTTTCTGCCCTACCTCTAATACTGGACTGATAGCACATGAAACACCTTCATATATCGAACTGGTAATGTCGGCGGCTATAAGCCAACTATAACAGAGGGCAAAAGTCTGTTATTCCTATGCAGCAATCCCTCTGTTAACTCTTAAGGATACTTGAACCCATCAAACGGTGTAAGATTATTTGCAAGTGCCCGCTGGGAATCCGTCCCTACATGCCTTGCAATCTCAGCCCTCCGCTTCGTCGGTCATCTGATTCAGCTTGTTGTAGCCCGCCTTCACAGGGAACACCTTGGCATCCGGCGGATGCATCCCACGGGGTGCCATCTGTGCATGGGCCCACTCGAGCTCCCTCTCTTCCTTACCAAAGTGCTTCTTCCTTGTAAACGCGGTCTATAGCGAAAGAAAAACAAATGGACCATCAGTTGTTTTTTTGGAAGCGATGACGTAGAAAAAATGTAGAACAATTTGGAAGAAATATGGAAGATCATGGAACGGATCCCATACATGGA